GGCCTCAAGGTGGTACGCCGAGATGCAAACGGTCTCGTTGACAGTGTTCAGTGCCAATTCTGCCGTTTCCATGGCCGGAGCAGGTTCCTGGTGCCAAACGCAAATGTACCCAGAACATCAAACCCTTTGCACCACCTTACTGAACAGACAACTATCAAGGTCCATCACACAGAGGCCCACGTGGGCAAGTGGACTGAGTAGAAGGCAATCTCGTTCGAGGACAAGAGAGTGTTCTTCAACAAGCGGCCAAAGTTCAAGGACACGTTGTTCACCTTCTTCGACAATGCGAGCTACACATTGATATTTACCATACGTGCGCACATTGTCAAAATTCTAATTGGCGAGCTGTTCTTCAACTCTGAGGACGAAACAATCTTGGCCGAAACAGAGTTGAAGATGTTTCGGCGTCAAGAGGACGGCAGCTACAACGTCACGATCAAGACGCCATGATTCAGCACACTTCAGCCAGGCATCGTTCAAGCAGACCGCCACCGTCATTCAACAACACCAAAGCTCACCAAGAACGCAAAATTGACTGGAGTGACGGATGCTTTGGTCAGCGGCTACGTCCGTATTCTCATTGCGGTCGCCATGCAACATCTCAGCGATCTGATGGAAAATCCGTCGATGTGGTCCTTCTTGTTTGCTTGCTTCACGAGCACTCACATGGGTATTTCATTCATGGATCAGCGTCTGCGTCTGACGGTGGATGAACTCCTCATCAACCTGCATTTGCTAGCCATTCCCATGTTCTACCGGCACACCGTCGTTAACCAGGTCAATCTGATCACAAAGCTCATGGACGTTATCAATTCCCGATGGCGCGATAAGCTGATCGGCCTCTGTTCAGATGGTGAGAACACCATGACAGGCTGTCGCGATGGAGTCATCATTTTTCTCAAACAACATGCGACGAATGATGTCCTGCGCGTCTGGTGTCATGCGCACCAGATGGATCTCGTCATGAAGGCAGGATTCGCTAGGATTGACGATGGGCAATTCGTCAAGGAAACGAATTGATGGGTTGTGCACCTGCGCTGTCAGGCAAATCTGATCAACGAAATTAGCTCGGCGTGTCCGAAGCTGATCAATCGCTGGCTGCACATGGGCAACACGCTCGATTGGATGCTAGCCAAGCGCTTGCATCTTCTGACGCACATTGAGGAGAAAAAGCCTATTGATGCGCATATCGAGGTGTGGTATATCGAAGCAGCGGCTGTTGCCACAGCGACAGCCGTGGTGAACGCGACGCTTACGAAGATCCAGAAAAAAGACATGATCATCTCGCAGCAGCGTAGTGAGATAGAATAGATGGTCTGTCGGCTGTGCACCTTGGTCTCCGCCAAGTTGTTGTCCGATTACCTCAACCTGGTTGGTGCAGATGATGTCTTATCTATGCGTTGGTGGCTTCCGGCAGACACCCTGATCAACTTCACAGAGGATCAAGGATCATTCATCCGCGACCTACTCGGTAATCTCAGTCTGGGCGACAAGGAGAAAGTTCTGCAAGATATTGGCAAATTCATCCTCTATATCCTTGAGGGTATGTGTGATGTCCATGGAGAATGTGATAGCTGGAACCAAGCTGCCGCTTCACCTCCTCTTGCAGTCATGCCGGCTGAGCTGATCAAGATGCCACCGTTATATTTGTTGCCGAGGTGCTCGACCCATGCCTAGCCCATATAGCAAAATTCTGGTCTGCGGAGCAGGTCGAGGAGATCGAGAGCGATCACTGCTCAATGTGGCGAGAGTACATTGTAAATGAACGTGTCAAGACCAAGATTGACCAACATGATCACAATACTATGTTTAACGTTGGCTGGAATGACGTCCAGGTCTATGTATCAGATGGTTCGTTCTATTCTTTGAGACAGTTCTGATGTGGACTTGCCACTGTTTTTGCCAACACAACGTCGGTGGAGTCGGATTTTTCCACATTGAAGTGGGAGAAGGACGATCGGCGGACAAATTTGACTTGTCTGGCGCTGGAGGAGATATTCTAGGTGAAATAGTTCAACCTACTGACACGTATGTAGTAATAAGACATGGGCATTGGGTTAACTTCGGCCAGTGCCGAATTGAAGACCAGGTGGCGTGTCAAAATTAGCTTATTCTCGGTAGATTCGGCGTTTGCCTATTTTATTGAGGTCTGCCCTAATCCCTTATGTTATCATTCTCAGATGTTACTTTCGTCCATCATCTCTATGTAACTGTGTGTATAGAACGTTTGTGTAATACATATGTTTAATACAACGTATAATACATGATCATGTATACAACTAAGCGCAGCAATTTACACGATGGGCGAGTGTCAAACTCAAGGTTTGTTCGATGGTTGAAAAAGTTGGGCGCTGATGCGGCTGGATCCAAGAGTTGAAAGATATAAACAAAAGGGTGATGAAGAAGATACTCTGGAGAGCGACTTGGACAACCACCTCGATGAATTCAACGAGGTTGATATGTCGGATGCTTGAATCGTTTTGATGACCAAATGCTATTTGATACCGAAGAGATTTTGATCGAGGTTCTTGTGATGAACCCAACAGTAAATTCAGCTCACATTTGTTCACTGTTTTAATTAAAATATATTATACACGTATTATACAAGCCACAAATAAAAAAATCATAAAACACAGTTCTATAATCACCTCCTTGGCCTCGAACATATATTCTTTATGTCGGGTACTCCATCGGAAATTCAACGCTATCAAATTCAAAACTGCTACCACCACCAAACATGTTACCTTAAACCCTTATGTTGTCATTATCAGATGTTACTTCCGTCCATCACCTCCTTGGCCTCAAAGATATATTCTTTATGTCGGGGACTCCGTCGGAAATTCAACGCTATCAAATTCAAAATTGCTACCACCACGAGCATCCTGGTTAAACGGGGTATTCTTCAAGTTCAACTGAACTTGAAGTATATAAGCTTCTAACTTATCCCAAATAGCATCTTTTGGTTTTCCCATTTGGAGTAGAGTCTATCACAAAAATGAAATTTCACACTTATAACAATCGAGTAACACTTGTGCGGACTCCATTATGGATTTTTTATTTTACAAGGTATGTTTTGAGAGTGTAGTATAATACAGTGGTATAATACCACAATTATACATACGCACCCATAGTCGCAACTTGAACACAACAATGCACTTGTTGGCTCATGTATTGAGAAGGTAATATACATACAAGGCCAGCAAACATTCTCTAACATCAAACCGTAACCGCAGCCATTGTGCGAGAATTTTATATAAAACCCGAGGACAGGAGAGGAAACAAATGTTGCTTGTACATGCTTTGTCAAATACTCATCTAGTGGGACAAAAAACCTCAAAAACACCTCTTCCTGTTTCTGCAGTCGTTGCATGTTATTCTGAGGTAGCTAACTATGTTAGCTCAATCATGTTCAACATAGAGGGTCAGCCCCTACTTATATACGCCACGGATGTTTTTTGTTCTAAAATAAGCGCGGAGAGACGAGGAAATTTTGTAGACTACATCCATGACCAGGCGGAAAATTATTCCTCCCCTCCTAAACCTCAAAGTTGATTTACCACGATAAAAATAAAAATAATGGCCATGGAGGGACTTGCAAGAAGAATAGTCCCTGTTTTAGAAAAAATAAATTGCTTTTAGGTATTATACCTCTATGGTAGATAGATAAGGCCATCATGAACTTAAAGCCTACCTTTTAGAGAACATGGTATGGGAATTGAGATTTTCAGTAGCTATATGAGCTTATAGAAACAGTCAATTGCATGTACAGAAATTTAATTTTGTACTTTCCACTTGCATCCTAATTTAATCCTAAATCACACAGATTGAAAGAGAAGGGGTTCGTTAGGATAATATTACGATAACCTTTAATTGGAACCCATTCTAATTTGATATATAATCACCTAACGAGGATATTACTATAACCTCGTTAGGTGATTATATACCAAATTAGTTTGTTGTTGTTGTTGCAAATATAAGGTTGCTGACTGAATAACATAAAAGTAGTGTTGAAAACAGTTCAATTCCACAAGAAGCACTAATGTCTTTGTGTAAATCAAACAAATGACTTCCAATATTCGATTTTGAGCTTTCAAAGTGGAAGTAAGTTTGGCTATGTTGGTTAAACTACTGTAATGTCAAGAATGACCAGAGCAGCAATCATGTTGAAGCCATCAACGGACCCAACTCTTCTTTTGAATATGATTGTTTCTCTTTTCGTTATTTGCAAGGGCCGAGTCAACTCCTACAGAAGAAATCAAGAAATAAAGTATTAACGATACGTGATGACATGGGGAGCTTTCTTAGACTTCCGCATTGAACGGTGTTGTGTTTGGAACCATAACGCAATGCAGCCCCCTGACTATGGCGCCAACACCACCAAAAACATGTGAAGTAATTGAAGATTGATAGGAAGGAATAAATAACGAAGAGCACCATGATTTTACGCATGTTCACAACTCTTGATTGCATACTTGAGAACTAAGACAGGACAGGCAAAATAGCACCCCATAACAAAAAAGTCTAAGGAGATGTTCAGATTTAGAGAGATGCTTAGAATGCACTTGAATTGATGTACGATCAAAATAAGTTTGGCCAAGAGGTAGACAAATAGATAATTATGTAATCAAGTTCAAGTACTCTCCTAAAGCTTGGCGTGCTGAAATATGTACTTCAGCAATTATCTCGGTGAAGAAGTTCGTCTTCAAGATGGTTTCATACAGCATGTAGCATTCAACGCAAGACACGCTATTAGTATAAACATAAAGTAGATACTGATGAGAATTAAAACAAGGCACGAGAGCGGATTGATGATCACAAAAAATTGAAGCCTATTTTGTTTTCCATTCTTGAAGTTTTATAAATATTGGAATGGGTTTCAATGCTCCATATATAGTGCATTTCGTCCGGTTCTAATATAATAGAGAAACGCTATCATGGCTGATTTAATTCGACAAGTTAACAATGTAAAGCTTGTTAGTTTCTAGAGCTTGGTGTGGATTTCATTCTACAAAGCATGAATAGATGATGAATTGAAAGCCATGGATGAGGTCGAACGTGCACAAGTGTTTGATGGAAGTCCAAGAACTTGTTCTTCCTTCCAAGCTTTGCGGTCGATATGCTCTTTGAATCTGAACGTACCTGATTTGAAGACAACGGAACACTCATAATCAAGTTTTCTCACAGTAACACAACTGGTTCTATGGTCCAGTGGTTGTCACAGTATCTCTAGTTCACGTTTCGGATGTTTACAGTAAAACATCCTTTTCAGTACAAAATACGAAGGGATGGAGACCTTTTCTTCTTCAGCGATGCAATATAACGACATTGGTGAAAACCACTCTCTCAAACAAGCATTCTTTGGTCTAGAACCGCAACCTCGGAGGTAGCTCCGAGGCGACAGAGTGTCGGTTATGAACACGAAGCAAACCATAGCAATAATGGAGGAAAATCTCTGGAGGAAATCAGGAAAATCAAACGGAAAGATTTTACTTTGAAACTGAAATCTTGGAAGATTTGACATCATACGCGAATCTCATTAGAGTGCACATCGCTTTCAAGCATCCCCTGCCTTCTTCTATTTACATGAATGAACTCTGCAGATTTCTGTAAATAAGTCTCCACCGATTGTGGTCGTAAGCCCACGCACAATTCTAAATCAATAGTGTAACCCGTTCTGTCTACTAACCACTAACAAAGTTTCAGCAATTATACACTTGGAGGGCACATTACTCAATTTTAAAGGAAAGACATCTCCGTATTCTTCGTCGCTATTTTGTCAATCGACATTTTGCACTCGTCGAAGGCCATCAATTATACTCAACCCCTTAGAATCGACGAAACGTACACAAATCGAGCACGATGGTATCCATCAAGGCCACCTCCTAGCTCGCACTCGTGCTTATCCCTGAGTGGTTTGGGAGGCTATTTCTTGGTGGGAAACTTACTCACTTTTCTATAATCGACAGCTCCAAGTTCTTCGTCGCTAAATTGCGAATGTGGCGTAGATCTATCATCAATCGTGACGTCTCACTCGTTGAGGGCCTGTTTGGCACACGCTGGGTTTGATCAGCCCGACCTCATCGTCAGCTACAATAGAAGTGCATATTCAACCAACAAATTGCTGATTGTATTATTTGGTGGAGGGCCGCGCGAACGCGAGCTCTCCGCTGCCACAAATTATGACGTGCACTTTCCCCTTGAGGAAGTGCTAGGATTTGCCGAGCCGTGGTGCAATGGGTCAGCTCGTCCTAAGTCATCGTCCTTCCGGATCAACGATAGGCTCCGCCCAGGTAAGTATGATTTCTAATCGCCAATCAGGGAACTAGTATGAAACCTGATACTCCTGTGCACACTCTTTCTATGGGTTTATTTTCAGCTGTAGCCCTGTATCTTTCCTTGGATGACTATTCCTCGTTCACAGTCCAGGAATCTCCCCTGACTACATGAAGAGATCGATGAATTAGCTGAATATTGGAGTTCAGGATTAATTCATTCTTGAGTTTGAGGTTGTCCATACTGAGCCAAATTTGTCGAGCGACTGCTGCGCTCGGTAAATTTTCAGCATGATGTTCTTAATCGTAAATAAGATCGACCAGCTCAAACAACCACATGGACAGCGTGTACCCGTGCTTCTGCATGTCATTACAGGCTACAAGGTCCAGGCCACAATTGAAGACATTGAAGAGTGGCAGAGACGTTTTAGAAAACCTCCTGCTTTTATGACGTTTTAGAAAACCTTGCTTTTCACCGAACACTGAAAGCTTGGTTCGAATTATTTCCTTCGTTTCTGTAGCTCCACACCTAGACTGCAGAGCATTACAGCAGCTCTGGGAAAGAATCGACTGATATGTCAGTTGAGTGTCTGTTCACATGACTCCAGTAATTCGTAGGTTTATCAATCTGAGCAACTGCCTCGAACTCAAACGAGCGCTATGGGAAATCGAAAAATCACACCTGCTGGATAGGCAATGTCCAACGTGCAAGCCATAGTAGCTTGCATTCTCTGAGACTGAGGGACATTTTGAGGCTCCACTCTAAATCAAAATCTTCCCGAACGATCAGGAGCTTGTTTGCAGTTTCTTTTGTCAATAATCACTTCTACTTGATGCCTCCAGGCTGAGAGATGCTGAAAAAGGTCGGATGGTTATTACTCTAAGCTGTCTGAAAGCAAGGTGCATGAGAACCATGGACAGGAGGGGCTGAAGGCCGGATTGGAAACGTGTAACAGCTAATCATGTACAATGGGCCGAGTTTGAAGGTATTCATCACCAATATACGTGAAGGATGATTTCCTCCTTTGAGTCTCGTCTCATCATCCCTGCTTTAGTGCTAATATTCAACAACGACATCGGTTTGGATTCATCTCATCTAAAGCTCACGGACTGCAAAGCTACAAAGCAGTAGGACTTTTGAGTGCCCCATATTTGTCAGTTATCTTATTATTCGTGGATCGGACATCGGTATGCGCAGCAGTTACTCAAGGTTATGAGGAATTAGGCTTGTCCCGGAAGGAGCTCTTTGTCGTGCTAAAACGAGCTGAACAGCTGCAGAGCGCGTACAGGCTGCAATGCAGGGACCACACTTGACTATTGCGAACCGCAGTTTTGGACCTTAACTGACTGTCCAGACTGCGATCTGCCCATCGTTGGCATTAAAATTATGAGTCACGAACTCTGGGGACAGATATAAGGAGATCTCGAGCAAAATGAGCAGAGTTTCAGATTAAATAAATATGTAGAACCATTTCCAGACAGAGCTCATGGGACTGCATGAACCTATATCCTGATGTGATAGGGCTTGAAATATGTTTGGATTTCTATCACCGTAATCTTGCATAATAAACAGTGCCCAGGTGGAGAAGATGAGTTCAAAACTCTGTTGGCTTGGCCACGTCTGGATGAGTGGTTAGTTTTTATGATTGTAGCCATTAAGACGGTGAAGAAAGCAGCTAGTTTATATGTAAAGCCAAGAAAAAAAAGTCAATTATCTGCCTGACCTGGTTCTCTGAGTACCAAGGTTGATAGTAGGATTGTAGACCATTTGAAAGGGTAAACGTGTCCAGTGTTCTTCGAGTTGCAGTATAAGAAAGAACCGAGTCTTGATCTCCACTGACATGGGAGTGGCAATTGCAACAAGTATCTGTTGCACGACAGAAATTACTAAAAGTCAGTGACCAGAAACTCTATCATATTCCTTTGCCTAAGTTTGTTGAACTCTATATGTCCAGTCGCCACATGTTTGAAACAATTTCTTCCTTCCTAACACATATTTCAAAATGCATCGGCTTGCTGTTGCTAACAACCACGCAAGGAAGTGAAATCATTTATAAGTTCAACTACAGATAGCTAGATGTGCTGGTGAATCTGCTCTTGGGCTTCGTGGAATATCTATCTGCTTCATTCTTTAAGTTTTGAAGAAAATGATTGAGGTCAAAAGCACATCGTTCTATAAATATTAATGTTTTCGTTGATTTTTTGCTAGGCCAGACTTTAGAACTAAAGTCATAGTCATGGTCTCACCTGAAAATCCTGACTCGCAAATGGTTTTCAATCAAGAGTCTGAGCAGGGGCTCCACCGTAGACGTAAGTAAATTGAAATTTACAAACCTGCATATTTATTGTAGATTAGATATCAGGTGTGTAGTACTGCCAAGGCGGCTGAAAATGACACGGAGAGGATTTATGGTTTCAGACCTTTTTAAACCGTTTGCACGGTTGAAACATTATGAATTTCATCCGTCAAACTTACAATTCAGATGAAGACAATTTGAAGCAGTCCATACTCGGAAGTTACCCTGTCCACATCACAGAATTCGCTGACAATGATGTGCAATCTTCATAGTCTGCTTTCCTACGATACCCAAGTTACTCATGTGTTTGCCATGTGGCCACAAGAGCAGCTTGAACGTCCTTGCGGTTCAAGCAAGGGTCTTTATCGAGTGCGTGACAGCAGTCTGTCCATTGGAACTACACTTTTTCTGGTAAATCTGGTTTGGAACTGCTCGTCATAACAGAAATTCAAAGATAGTCGGGACCTACAGGATATACAGAAGCTAAAACACTTTAATACATACGAAGCGTTCTTACTTACAAAATGAAAATGAGTCAACTTTACGAAATTTTTGTATTTTACTTTTTTTTTTTCCTACGTTAACATCGGATGAGTAGGTAATAGATTGATAGAGAACGACTTGTGATAATGATTTTGCTAGTTAATATTGTTCACTAAATTTTTGAAATTTGAATTCTTGATCTATATGTTCAATTATTGGAAGTTTTTTTAATTTTTCATTCAAACCTTGATTTTAAAGTGATTTTAAATCCTATTTTACCAAATTCAGAGAGCATAAAAATTTCCATATTTTCCGCTAAATGTTCATTGGAGTGTATTTTATTAATTATTAGAAATATGTATTATTCAAAAAAACAAACGATAATTTTTTATGTATTATAGCCTGATACGTTTGAAATGTTTTTCAATATATTATTGAAAATCCATCAATAGATTAAACAATAAAAAATGAAATTATTTTTTATTTAAATAACCAAAAAATATCAAAATTTATTAATATATATATAAAATAAATGAAATTATTTTTTATTTATTTTATCTAAATAAATTAAAAATATATAGATAGAAAGAGGAAGTTTTAAATAGTTACAAAAAATAAACAAAAAATATTTTTTAAAAATAAATATTATATCCAAGAATAGACATAATACAATATTATAGTATATCTATTTCTAAAATCTGTTGTATGTATATCATCAGAAGAATATTAAATTATTATTTTGATAATCTTCTTAATCATCAGATAAAAATGACTTGGACTAATTCAGATAATTTCTGCTGTCAAAGGACGTTACGAGGTAGGCGGTGATTTTACTTTAATCTGGTAACATGAAATCCGAGACTACACATAATCTCGGGGTCGATGAACACGATTGGAGAATTTGCGGGTTTTCCCTTAGATCTTGCCTTTTTTCGAATCGTGAGATCGTATGTGATTCCATTTCCATGCAGATAAAAGTGTGAGTGACTTAAACTATATCATAGATTTCCGTGAGATGGCATGTGATTCCATTTCCATGCAAATAAAATGTTCACCAAATATTTGAAACTCAAATTCTTGATCTATATCTTCAATTATTGGAAAATTTTTAAATTCTTCATTCAAACCTTGATTTAAAAACGACTAAATCCTTCAAAATGTATTTTTCTGAATTCAGACAGTATTAAAATCTACATATTTTCCGCTAAATGTTTATTGGAGTGTATTTTATCAATTATTAGAAATATATATCATTAAAAAAAAAACTTATAATCCTCTATGTATTATAGCCTGATTCGTTTGAAATGTTTTTCAATTTATTATACTATAGAAAATCCATCATTAGATTGAACAATAAAAAATCAAATAAATTTTTTTTAAATTAGAAAACAAATCAAAATTTTATTAATATATATACATATATATATATAAAAGAGCAATTTTTAGATGGTTAATAAATATGCAAATTAAAAGATTTTGAAGAATTGTATATCCAAGAATAAACATAATACAATAGTATATCCAATTCTAAAATCTGTTGTATGTATATCATCCAAGTAGTAATAAATTATTATTTTGATGATTTTCTTAATCAGCATTATAAAAATGACTTGGACTAATTCAGAGAATTCCTACTGTCAAAGGAAGTTGGGAGGGAGGCGGTGGTTTTCCATTAATCTAGTAACATGAAATCCGAGACTTCACATAATCTGGGGGTCGACGAACACGATTGGACAATTTGCAAGTTTTCTCTTATGTCTCTCCCTTTTTCCAACCGTGAGATCGCATGTGATTCCATTTTATCTGCATGGAAATGGAATCGTGACTTGGACTATATCATAGATTTACTACTATCCAAGTACGTTGGGAGGGAGGTAGACATCGCATCAGAGATAAAAGCGTTAGTGACTTGGACTATATCATAGATTTCCTACTGTCCATATGTTGGAAATGAGGTGGTGGTTTTATTGTAGTAACTTGGATTTAGCAGACGCATCTAGGTTTCACCTCACTAACTGCGTCATTGCCCCAAGCGCAAAGTACAGAAGAGACGAAGAGTGGTGCAACAAGAATTTTGGCTAGATCGACCCCGACCGTATTCACTCCAGGCTGACGGTATACGCATGCCGCCACCGTCCAAGACGAACCGTTACCGTCCAAGACAGATTTCGACGAGTGATTAGTTTCGACTAGTGACGAAGCCGTCCCGGCATTTTACTCTCGCGTTTCTTCTTGGAGCTGGCGATGGTGTCACCGCCGCTAATTCTTGGAGCTGGCAATGGCGTAATCTGTGTAATTTGCTGTTGCGACGATCGAACTGGTGAGTGATTTCAATGCTTTCCATCTATGCGCTTCCGATGATAGTGACTTACCTGTTGCGGGGTGTTGAAGGAGAAGCTTATCTGCTCGATCCCAGAAAAAAGTAGCAAAAATTTAGCAAAAAAAGTAGCAAAAAATACCTCCGGACCAGCCCAGGCGGTTTTCCAATGAGCACAGGCTATTCGGAATAGCAAACATATTGAAGCTTATACGAGAGAATCGGAGCTCCGTCGAGGATCTGATGAAGAGTGTCTGCTTTGAGTCTGACGGTCGGGAACGAGATCCTGTCAATGGAGTGTACGGGACATTACGATATCTTCAGCGAGAGACGGGAGGAAAACAGAACGGCTTGGTCCGAGAAGCTAAGGATACTGTTGGTGGAGGATGCTCCCAACAAAGGCCGTGCATGTGGCCTGAGTAGGCCACATGCACGGCCTACTCAGGTCGCCTCTACAGAGACAACGCCAGCGCTGCAAGACAACGATGTTTATCATATGCAGCAGCAGCAGCAACTGCATAACATACAGATGCCCCAGCAGCAGATGTCTTCTCTAGAGTATTTTGTTAATTTCAATGCCGGTGGCGGAGGCTTTAATCCGGTGCAAGCAACGGACGCGTCGAACTCTCATCCACTTATGCACCTCACAGATAGAAGTGCAGAAGTTACTCTTCATCGGGCCTCTTCTTCGTACACTGGAACAGCAGCGAGAGACTTTCTCTCCCTCACACACAACTCTTAACTCTCGCTATCATTGACTTTTGTTGTAATTGCAGATAATACAGAATCTACAGCTTTACATCGTTAATTTTTTCATTTTCTTTTCTCCACAGCTATAAATCTATCCAGACTCACATGCAGTGTCTTCCCAGGATTTTATATTATATGACAAACTAATAAAAAACGTGGCTGATTTAATGGCCCGACACAAGGTGTTCTATTTTACCGTGAGTATCAGGGCCTCGTTTCTCTTTGTCACCTCGTGTTGGTGTGTGCGATTGCAGATTCTTGGGTTGTGGGATCTGAATTTCGAAGATTTCAACTCAGTTGTGTCTGTCTATATATATATATATATATATATATATATATGTCGGAGTATATGTATGGCTTATATTTTAGAAAAGTATGGGTGCCAGAAGGGACAAGACTCAGCTGGCTTGGTTTGCAGCCTCTAGTGCGCTAACTCTTCCTGTTGTATAATCTATCTCCAAAGATGATGAGACTGCGCTAAAACAACAGAGTCTATAGACAGCAGTGTGGTGTTCGAGTCACACATTTTGACGTCTACGGGAAGTGTAAGAAGGTGTCAAGAATGAGGTCAGCGTCTTCAGGGGTATCTCCAATCCCCTAAGCTCATAAAAATTTCGAGACATTTCGTTGACCTCACTGTCACATTGAGTACTGTAAGCCCCAGTCATATCACGCCGTCTGTGTCCTTGAGGCGAAGCGCATGTGTCAAAAAAGAGAAAATGACGAGAAGAACTCAAGGGAACACACACAAGTAAAGTCGGTAATTATCTGGACAGCAAATTTTTCCTAAGCAGTTGCAAGCGAGGAGTCTCATATCTGCGTGTGCATCATACCCAAGCTCTTGCCTAAAAGTTCTTGCCTAGAAATTCAAAGGCGTCGTCAGTGAACCCTTCCACATGGAACGAAACTCTGAAGAAAGTGAAATTAACACTCTGCCGCAGGCACAAAATTCTACATCTTCCTGACATGCATTACTTGAGACCTTTTGCATCGACAATACAGGTTTTACATCTAGTTGCAGGTTCTAAGCAGATGGAACTTAATTCTGATCACAGGATTCTAAAAAGACATATATTACTTGAAAAAGGTTTGCATGTCTCATCTTTCTAATCTGAAAAATTTTCCTTAAGTTTTCAACTGGACTCCAAAGTCCTTGCGGGGTAAAAAATTCACAAGCATGAAATTTTAAAAGTTCTCACATCCTCACATTACTTTAATATCATACGAAGTCTGAGAAACCGCTGACGAAACAAACCTGTCACTGCAAAGATTCATTTTTTTCAAAAGTGAGCTTGTGATTAGGCTATCTAACTGGTGACAGCAAATCAGCTCGTGAAGTGTATGTGGATGAATTCACTTTGTTACTATCTTGACGCTTCCATCCAGCCAATTAATTTTTTCTGGAAGTAAAGCACAAGCAGTTCACATAATCTCCACATTCAACCTTTAAACACTGCCCTAGCAACAGGGAAACTGCAGAAATGAGCATAATTTTGGAGGAAATTAGAATGAGAGCAGAATCTGATCTAGTTATATTTTCTTCCCAATTGTCGGTTTCCTAAAAGGGCTTTGGAAAGTTTCTGCAACGAACTCATGAACGATAAAAACTGTCAAATTTTATATCTCTATACATTATAATTATAACACATAATTTCTGCAAGATCGTAATCGTTGATCTTACAAGCGCATCTCATTATAACCGATAGTATGTGGAAAACGACTAAATTGAACCTATGCCCAACATGTATATTTTATACGTAACGTTTTAGTGGCCTAGTACAAAGGGATTGTCAAAAACCTTTGTGTATATACTTCACATGGCTACTTTCATATTTTTGTAATAACCCACTAAAGGCTAAAACTGCAATATAGTGGTAGAAAGGTCGAACCCACAGGGACAGAGGAACACACAGGGTACAAAGTGTCACGTTTTAACAGACTATTGAGGAGTTTGAATTCTCAGGCAACTGTCACTCCCAGAAATACTGCAAGTGTCCACTCGGAGCGCACTCGGAGGTCGCACAGTGCAGCGTAACACACACACACACACACACACACCTGAAACTACAGAAACACAACCCATAGATCCGTTAGGACCTCTACTCAAGATTTCAGGGGGGGGGAAAGTCTCTCGCGAGCACACTCGGCAAAGCTGCGGGCAGTGACTTCCAACTCCGGCTTTTACAACACTTCCACTAGCTTGCTGCTAGTGTAGGAAACCCGGTTTGGACTGCCTACTTCGGATCGAAGTCACTCCTACGCGGTGAACAACACTCTCAACTCACGAAACGCGCAGAGAACACAGGTCCACACTGAAGGACTCACTGTGAAACATTCCAGTAACACAACAACAGTCTATTGAAGAGTTTGAATTCTCAGGCACTTGTCATTCCCAGAAATACTACAGGGGTTGCCCTCAAGGCACCTGCTGCAGCGTAACCTGAATTTACAACCAAGGCTTACACGAAGTAGCAAAACTTCACTTTGGCATTCAGGGGAAAAATCCCAAGGAGTACAATCAGAAAGAAACACTCGAAGGTGTAGGGGCGAAACTGTTCAAGTATCTAACTAGTCACTGGCTCTGAGCATCGGCAGTCACCCGCAGGTGCAGATCCGAACTACTCAAGTCTCTAACCAATGTACTAGCTCTAAACATTCGGCCGAAGGCCTTCAGTTACAAAATGCGGAACGCTAAGTTGTAACATCTCGTGCGTGGTGACAGAACTCAAGGACACAAACACGCAAAGGAAATGGGTTCCTGATATGTACTTCTGATGGGAAAGAACCCCAGGCAAAACGCCTGGAACTATTTTATACCTTCTAAGTCCTACTAGCACTACACTGCACCACGCCATGGTGCGAGCCGCAACAGAACCTACACCTGAGGAGTCGGCGGCTGCCTTCCCCTCTAACTTACAACCTAAATCTAACCCTAACCCTAAATCTAAATCCTAAGCCTACTGTACAGAGCCGCCAGTGCCTTCCCACCCAAGATCTGAGGCTGAAAATTTGCAGGCAGGCGTGGCCGGCCGAGATCAACGGCCCCACAAAATTTCAGATCCATCCGACCGTCCATCGCAAAGATATGGGCCCCGCAAGATCTCTGAACCTAGGCCAAAATTCCTTCTCCAAAATCCGAGGACTGTGGGTTCCACGCGTCCTACACGCAAGCCGCCTACTCGCAGGCCGCCACTGCCACACCTGAACATTCTACATTCATGACCACCCGATCCTCGCCGGAGGAAATCTCCTTCCGCGCACCGCCGAATGCGTCCAACCGCCAAAGACGCACTTCCACACCTTGTCAATCTCTAACAGTCACCCCGACGCTTATAACTCACGGATCCCTGCTTCGTTTGCAACGTTCTTGGGCTCGTTGGAACGAGCGTGTTGTGCTCTTTCCAACGAGCCCCTAACCAAGTCAAACGGATAAGAATTGAGAAAGTTATCACTGTTTTACTCTTCCGCCGAAGGCCTGCAACCGTCGAAGGCGTCCGTCCGCGCATCGGACAAAAGTCGATCTCCCTACCTCCGAAGGCGGAATTCCCGGAAGCGTAACCCCGAAGGCGAACATCTAGGGCCGAAGGAGAACGTCTACGTATCTTCCGATAGTCCTAACTCCCTAAATTCCCATCCGTCCCAGGCGTTCTTGGGCTCGTTGGAACGAGCGTCGCGAGCTCTTTCCAACGAGACCCTAACCACCGCAAACCATTAAGAATTGAAAACACTATGTCAATTTTACCCTTCCGCCAAAGGCCTGCCTGTGCACAGGCCGCCTACTTGCAACCCGCCTGTGCACAGGCGTCCGCGTCCGTCCGCGGCGTAAGCCGCCTCTCTAAGTGTTAACGCCGAAGGCCCCTCTAAATGTTAGCACCGAAGGCCCTCCATATCAGAAACTTCCGCCGCTTCTAACTCGGTGATGCCTCATCCGTTTCAAGAGATCTTGGTCTCGTTGGAACCAGCTCGTCGAGTTCTTTTCAACGAGACCCGAATCGGGTCAAACCGCTAAGAATTGAGAAAGTAATGTCGGTTTTACTCTTCCGCCGAAGGCGTTCGCCTATCCACAGTCCGTCCGCGGCGATGACCTGGCTGTCTGCGGCGCTGACTTGTCCGTCCGCGGCGATGACCTGGCCGTCCGCGGCGCTGAGCTGGCGCAGAAGGCGCCGTACACTTTCTACCTCACAAGGCGCATTTCTAGGGCCCAAGGCGGATTTCCCGCCGACGCCGAAGCGCCTGTGCACAGGCGAACTTACTTCGTCCGCGCATAGGACAAAACTTTCTTCGCCGGTGCGCAGGCGGAAAGCTGAGTGTCTTGCGACCTTCATAACTCCCGGAATTCTCCTCCGTTCGTGGCGTTCTTGGGCTCGTTAGAATCAGCGCGTCAAGCTCTTTCCAACGAGACTCTAACCAAGTCGAGGCGTTGCGCATTGAGAAAGTTATGAGGGTTTCACTCTTCCGCCGAATGCACTCTCCCGTATCGCCGAAGGCGTTGACCCGAAGGCGTCTACCGCCCAAGGCGCATCTTCCGGCGGTTCTTCCGCCGAAGGCGTACCGCCAAAGTCGCTCTACCGCCGAAGGCCCCCCCATCAGTAACTTCCGACACTCATAACTCAGTGACCTCTCATCCGTTTCACAAGTTCTTGGTCTCGTTAGAACGAGCGTCGCGAGCTCTTTGCAACAAGACCCGAAGCAACTCAAGGCGTTACGAATTGAGAAAGTTATGAGTGATCAACCGCCGAAGATGCTTGAAGCGGATCGTGCAGCATGAACCGCCCGTTCCGTCCCAAGCGTCCCACTGTGGCCTAAGCCCAAAACCCCTTGACTGTCCTCGATCCTCTGGTTTCGCGTACCGATTACTATTTACAGCTGCTGCCGCGGTACTTACTATTCAAAAATGTTTTAGTTCCGACAAAAAACAAAAAGTGGGTTACCACAATTTTCATTTTCGCTCATCCGTATCTAAGGAACATTTGTAGATTTGCTATTTGATCCTAAAAAACTTAAATCCGTTACTTCTTTTAGGAATTGAACCCGCCACTCTGGATAGAATGGAATCAACTGTATATTTCAATTAGACAGCTACTGAGTTTCACATGTGAAAATCACAGATTTCCTCGGCCTTCACGCCAAGCCCAAATTTGAAATATCACGCGTTTGGGTCATAATTCAAATTTGTGCCGCATATTTGAATTATCACCCGTTTGGGTCATAATTCAAATTCGTGCCGCATAGCTGAACGGGAGAACGGGTTCTTGGAGAATCTTCCGTTGAATGCGATCGATATCGATGAATCATTATTGAATGTTCGATGGTTTCGAAGGTTTTCCATCTGGATATATATGGGATGGAACACATCATTCCATTTGCACGTAAAATTCGGGAGCGAACGAACAAGAGAAAGAGCGGATTCAAAGCGAAACCCAAAACAACTGCCTTGTGATTGTGCTGTGCGCGAAGTCAAGCTCAAGATAAGGAGCAGCACTTCCTCTACTTTTCCGAGGGATCAGTAGCTCATTTAATTACTACTCACTGCCTCGACGTTCGATAGTTGTGAACATTGTGTTCGTGATGAAGTTGTCCATGGCCAATATCTTCATCTGTTCATGACTTCGACAAGTGTTGCCAGCCACCCTAGCCCTTCCAGATCATCAATGATCCATTGTATTCCTCAACCTAAATATCAGTTTGCAACATGTCATGATCATAAGCTCTCCCAATGTCTTCGGCGATAATCGTGGCGTCTGTGAAAGTTCCAACAAGTCCCTTCTTCGTGAATCCGATGGCATACAATACCCTCTCTCCTTTCCATCCATCACGCATTGAAGCACTAGGAGATCCATCTTCCCCGATGAAATTGCCCTAGAAAATAATCATGATGGTTAAGAGAACTATCTGTACAATATAACCATTTCAAACACGTTACAATAGTTAGATACAGTTTCAAAAAGTCTTCACGTATGGACCAGCTTGCCACCTTAAGCCACATCGGAACATTGCTTCGATATCCTGTTGCGAAGATTATTGCATCGTATGATTCGAACTCCCCATTCTCGAATCGGACCCCAGAGGTCATAAGTGCTACAGCCTTCGGAACGACCTACATTCATAACATCGGGAAGTCATTATTTATATGCAATCGATATATAAAGACCAGACTACACAGTAACCACATCATCAGTATTTTGCCATGCAAACAAGAGCCGATAGTTATTTGACCCGACCAGAAATCACATATGCATGGTCTACCTTAATGTTACCATTATTAATCTGATTGACCGCCCCCACGTCCAGAACAGGAGTCTTCCACGTTTTCTGCTTGAGTTGCAGAGGCCCTTCGATGGGCCTCTTTAGTCCAGGTTGCCCAATGTCAGCCACGTGCCAAATACAAGCAGCCAATCAGTCAGCCGAAGAGGCAAGGCTTTCGAAAGTCGCATAGCCACCACGAAGGTTGAAGCTCCGACAATGCCCGTGGAAGAACGTGCATCTGTATCACACATTTCACTTCGATTGTCAATCTCAAAAACCAAAGTCATTTCCCAACCAGCACCTTCTCCCTTATATGAATGTAGAAACAAACAAAACCGTGAGTCCAGCGAAATCCAATACATTCTGCAGCGCTCTCCGGCGGAGGAAATCACGTGCACGCCTGTTGGTTGTTAGGGTGAGGAGTGGACGCGAGTTTCTTACTGAGTCATGGACCACAATCGATGGTTTGGCGTTGAAGTTGGCAAGGTCCAGTGCAATCTCCATCCCTGAGTTTCCACAACCGACTACGAGCACCTTCTTATCCACGAACTCTGAACCGTTCTTATAATTTCTCGAGTGCAGAATGCTCCCACTATAAGTTTTCATCCCTGGGAGTTTGGGCATGACAATCTCAGCATTCTCCCTTGATGCGACAATCAACCAGCGGACCCTATACTCGGCCTTCTCGATTTCATTGCTAGATGAGAAACCCTGGGTATGAACACGCCAGACTTTAGAATTTTCATCGTATTGTGCCCTGTCCACATTTGTACTGTGGATGGATTTTATATCAAAACGCTTCCACATATTCATGCAGATTATCCAAAAGCTGCTTCTTGTTTGGATACGTCGGATACGATGCAGGCAGCGGCATGAACGGGAGTTAACAGAACTCCTTGGGAGTGTGAAGATGCAAGCGATCATATGTCCTCTCCTTCCAGAGCGAACCTATGCCACCGGACTTCTCCAGCAAGGTTATTGGAACGCCTCTTTCTCTGAGGCATGCAGCGGCAGCAAGCCCTGACGTCCCGGCTCCGACAATTATCGCTCCTTCCACTGGTCTTGACATTGTTCCGTGCTTAGAACCGCCAATCTTGTCGACAAACTGGCTAGACTTGCTCCCACAAATAGACTTAAGTTCAGTTGAATTTACAAGATTGCACTTGATTGTTATTTTTTGATTCTGAAATTTGGATGTAAAGTCTTGTTGTTAAGATTTATAAACAACTTCACTTGATTGTTTAAAAATCATAACTTTTGTTTTGTTTTAGTCTAAATATTTTAGGTTTTTCAAGCATTAATTTGTTGTTTTTAAATGATGAAAAGATTTGCAACTTATAATAAAACATATTTTCAATATTTGTAAAGACGATAATAACGAATTTTTTTCAATATAAGCCATATTCATGAATTTTAATTAAAGTTATATATTGTGTAAAGCTTAAAATTAATTGAAGAAAAATTTCCAGATTTGTGTTTCATTCAATTTTTATATATGAAAGCAATTATTCTTCTTACAAACACATAAATTTTGTACATTAATGGAATTTTGTTGTCAGTTTGATGTAAAAAAATGCTTGGAGTACTTTTTTGAAATAAAATAGGAAGAAAATATTCACAAAATTTGTTTACTAATACAAAGAGTAAAAAATTAATCCTTGTTCAAAATTTGACAAAGATTCGGCAATTAACCGTGAGAAGATTAGAAATACCAATTAGAAGGAAGTGAGTGATTGCAATGTTGAGTGACAATTTTATGAAGCTAAAAGTATTACAGTAAAAATGTTTTCTCAAAGTTCAATTGACACACAAATTCTGAGAGATTACTCTACAATTCTTTCACTACTTGATCACTTAGAAATCGCTGTGATGTATGTGCAACATAGCCTCAACTTCTCTCGTTCCTAGTTTTCAACATAGACTTCGAACTACTTCATTGAATTCATATCATGATATTCCATTAGGATATCTATCAAATTTATATCTGAATCTATAGCTAGTGGTTATAATCCAAGAATGAGTATTTTGTACGACAGCCGCATCAAGATCATTTGCAACTAGATATTTCTAACTTTCCTTGATCTCAAGTAACGTCCTGGAAGGGACTGAAATTCCCTTATAAACTCTTTTGAAATCTAATTTTCGAGCTTAAGATCCATGAATGTAAATGTAAAGAACCGACAGTAGTCAATCACGTGAAAGTAACCCTGCAACTCTGAGGATACACAGAGTTGTAAGTGGAAGACTTTGCAAAGTTCCGGAAATCTAATTTGCAGAGAGAGGTGTAGTTGACCGGGTTATCAGTAAATTTTCCAGAGAGGGCCCATAAGGCGATTTGCCTGTAAAACGCGTCGGTAAAATGTACACCGTCCCAATTCACATACTCTTCCGGGTTTGCACATTTGTTGGACCCTGGATTACCACAAGTAACGAGTGGGTTGAAGTTGAGGGTTCCAAATCCAGGAGCTCCACAGCACGCACGCTTGGTCAAGGCTGGATTGAATCCTGTTATTAAACAGCAGAAGATGTCGAGAGAATGTGAGACCTTCAGTTATCTAAGCATTCGAAGAAGAAGTCTCAAGGAACATGCATCAACTCCAAGATATTGTACTGCAAGAATTGAGTTCAGAATGTACCGTAAAGGGAGGGGTTTGTCAAAATCTCCAAGTTGGCAGCGTAGTAGTTGAAGATGGAGATGGTTCTACCAGGATATAAAAGTCGAGCAGATGCAATTGTATCATTAAGAGCTTTGTTGTAGGCTTGATCGAGCTCATTGATAAACACAATACAGCCCATATCATCCTTTTGTAGCCCGGGAATGGATGCCAGGACAGTCATAGCTATGGTGCTGCAGCCTGCATTAGGAGTGTTGAAGAAGAGAAACTTTTTGGCCCCATTTGATGTTAAGATCTGGACAACAAGAGATGAAATAAGACGCCTTGGCTGATCAATCGTAACTATCATAAGGCAAAAGGTACACATGAACAACATTTATATCTGGTAATTCTAAATCTCAGGATGAATCAGTTACGAAGATGTTTAATTCAAGTTGGCAAATAAAAAGATTAAAAAATATAATTGATCCAGGGATTATAGATCTTGATCTTCTAACATCCTGAACCTTTTACTAAAATAATTTTCAACGCTCCATTGGCTCGTTGTTCCTCTCGGATAACTTAGAATTTTGATTGTAAGTACTTCATCCCGTTACCACTAAGTCATACCTTATGAGAATCTTCATTATTTCATGACATGTTTACCTTGATAGTGGCGAGGATGTTCATCATGGCATCAGGGATCACTTGAGTTACAACTTGCGCTGCAGTCTGGTTTTTGAGTAAGATGGCGTTAAGAACGTCATTTCCTCCAATTTCAAAGGTGTACAATCCTTCGCCATACGAGTCATTGCGAGGCAGAAACTGTTTGAACGCATGGCATGCTGGATATACAATCAGAGAACACCTTGAAGGTATCAGTAGATGGAACTCAGAGACCGTCAAGAAAAGTTCTGATCGCTGAATGACAAATGCTGTTCAAGTTCCACATGCTTGGTGAATTGACAGTTTAAGATATGCTCGGATGAAAGAATTGGAATGCAATGCCCGTAAGGTATATTGTGAGGTTAAAGTACGGCAGAAGTTTCATCACAACTATTCATTCTCATTCTTAGCTCCGGTCCTTGTTCCAAAGTTAGGAAGAAAGTAGAGAAGAGAGAATGGCACGTACCAAATTGATTCTTCTGAGAAGTTGCGCTCTGCTTGAATCTGACGAATTGGGCAACTTGATTTAACAGATATATCGGGTTCCTAGAAGTGTCGTTGGAAGCAGTTGTTCCTCCAGAAGCGAAGTTTGCTCCATAGTTGTAATCGAAGGCACCTGCCTGGAGATATGGTTGTAGGAGCGGGTACTTGAACGCCAGAGCTGTAACACCAACGTTAAGGACATGTCAGCCTGGAGCACACCAGCATCGCCAATGACATTGCTGCTCTACCATTTTTAGCAACGCCTAGAATCGGAAGATCTTTACCAAGCATGGTACGTCGCGGTGTACAACCTGGACATGCATGACTTGAAAGGCACCGTAATCTCAAATTCATCCTTCCTGGCCCAACCATTCCTACGAGCGTATTAAGGACTTTGCCAAGGGCTGGCCACTAAGCTGAAATCATCTAGATAAATTTCTGGCGATCTGATCTCTCAGTGTTGCCTGAACATGAGGCGACCCATATCATCATATGATAAATCCAAAAAACTTCCATGAAGATTGAATCTATCGATTTAACTACGAGTATTTGGGACGGTGAACAGGGAGTGAACGTACAGAAGTAGTCAGGCACAACGCGTCCGTTGCAGAATCGTTTAGCTGGTCGTTTGAAGAACGATTCTCCATAGGGGCTGCGCTCGGGGTCCAAGGACAAAGCGAAGACGTCAAGCGTGCCTCCGGTGTCCGTCAGCGAGTCTCCGAAATTCCAGAAGGCCGTGGGACACACATGATTTCTGCCTTTAATTGGAGTAGCACTGACAGCAGGAGCTGGAGTAAGTACGGCGACCAGAAACAAGATTGCTGCGAGCTTGTGCCAAAAAGGGCAGTCAAGGCAGCGAGCTCGAGAGGAAGTACTCATTCTGAAGTTAAAGGGAAAGCACGTGGATTGTACAGAATAAGCAGGTAAAGCAGTTCAGATTTGCTTGTTGTTGTATCTGTGGCTTGAGTTTTTATACCTAATGAACCCGGTATCATACCAGACTCGTGAAACTTACCGGTGGTGTGTTTAGCGATTTCGATCTGTCTAAGCTAGAATTAAGCAGAATAGTATCTATGCTGCTTACAAATGCTCCATGAACATATCTACCTATCCAAGAGGACTGCGCGGAAAATTCTGCCGTATGGTTATGTGTCCAAGGTAGATCTGAACACCATGATTTTTCATGAATATTTGAGATTACAAATCTCTGTTGACACACGACGTGCATTCCTACAAGTTCGGCTTATTGCAAAAAAATTGTAGCATTATTCGATACTCAGCAGCCAACTCTGTCTTGCCCTGTACAAATATGAGTTCAAAAATCTTCTCACTCAGAGATCTATGTCTGAGTGAGAGAAATCTAAAAGTCATATTTGTGAAGGACCAATTCTGAAGTTTGTTCGAGGCAATCTGTAGTACGAGGGAAATTAGAGTTATTGAAGTATTTTGCTTATTTTCTTGGACACCGTATGTTCATGGCGTAATTAATTTAATATGTATAGGAGATAAGGTTTGAAGGTAAACAAATACATCCGCTCTCTGGCAATGCGTTCACGTCCCCTAAGATTAATATTCCCATTTCGGAAACAAGAATAAAGTAACAATAAATAACTGAAAATCTGAATCTACCCTTCGAAGTCACGAAGCACATGTCTCCGGCTACTTTACTTGAGACCGAATAAGACTCTGACGCTTGACTTTTTGTCTAAACCGATAGATTTGTTGAACAAAATACTAGTAAAATAAATATTTTATCCCATCTTTTTCCCCCTAAGTTCGCAGTCACAGGTCTTTAAGTCAATCACGTCCTGTAGAGCATTTGAACGGTCAGGTACTCTGTTGCAAGGAATCTCAATGTTAACCTAAAGTGTAAACCAAATGGTACAAACATATTCATTGGCAGTAAAAAGCATTTTAGTCTGGAAAAAGATGGAGACGAAGGATGAACTTCGCATGCGACTTTGAGGAAGAAATGATACCCTCAAATGCACTCTTCTTAAGGAAAGTTTAACTTTATGCAGTAAGAAAATGACATTGGCATGCGAATGCTAGAGCAATGATCATGTCATGATTGCAACATCGCCTTTCCAGTCTCCACTGCTAAAAACAGTTCAATCTAGCGCTTCGATTTCTAACTCCTCAATAGTCATCTAAACAAAAAAGCAAAACTGGGCTTCTCTGACTGGGGTTCATAATTGCTGGAAACATGCAAAAGAAAAATATTACACCCAAGGTTGACGTTGGCCCAGAAAGCATAAAGTATAGTTCCCTCATTAGCTTGTTCTGTCATATTTAACACCCTTGGCAGGCAATCTCTCGACGGTCATGAGTGGCTTCTCCTCCAACATAGTCAAAGCAATCATGCCTTCTATCCAATGCAGGTGTTCTCGTTAGTTGCACCATTTTTTATATACAGAATACCTAGTTATTTTTTACTTTAACAAGAGAATCCTACATAATCCTCCTTCCTTCAGCAGATACATGTTGAGGTACGATGAGTTCACAATGTTTCATCGGCTTAATATTCAAATGAATAAACAGAGCAAAGGACCTGCGGGTTTAAGATCAAAATCAATCTCAAGGGATTGACCTTTTGTCGTTCTTAAATATAATTGAACTAGGATCCGATAATCAAATGTCCTTGGATGCAACTCTAATCATCCTCCTTGTGATGCTCCTAGTAAGTTTCTCAGCTGAAGTTAAGGCACTTGCACTAACAGTCAGATGGTTCGGGGGTCCATGACTCAACCCTTCCGTCAAGGGACAGATCGGAACATATGGTTTAAAAGAGATGCAGTGATACTATAGTGACAAAAGTCAATATGTTTACTCTGGATACAACTTTTTAAGGCATGAATGCATAAACGATTGGCATGACTGTTCATTAAAATCGTTGAAAATATTTAGATCCTGTGTGGCACCTCTATTACTTTATGATGATGCAACATATATGCTTCATCTTCAAAACATGGAAAATCAACAATACGAATTCTTGAAGAATATAAATAGCGAAATCAAGAGATCCGAGATTAGTTCTAGGCTTGATAGTCTTTTAAATTCAAGAATTATTTTCATAATAGGGCATATCAAAATTTTCAACGTATATATAACACAATAATGCAACACAAAATAATAAATAGATGAATATCAAATTTTTGATGAATATAATAACTTATAACACAAACAGGATGCTATCTTTGAATTAGAGTTATGTATTTTTTCATTTTATATTCAGATTTTTAATTGTGTTCATATTGAAAATTATTATATATACGTAGAGAAAAGACATGATATTTCCTAGATTGTTAGATAGATATAATCATCAATGAAACAAACTTAATGATGATTTTCAGAATATGGTTACACAGAAAATTATATTGTCGAATACTAATCACAATATTTTTTCTGATTTAAAGTGAAATTTTTGCTAAAAAGCTTGAAATTAGATCTTGTATTGAGATTCAAAAGTTATGGCATCAAAAATTATGTAAAATTAGTAAAAAAAATATATCCATTGTTCACCAATGTTGTATTACCTCTACCTTGAACTGATTATTTTATAACTCTATGAAATTCAGATGTTTGAAAAAGAAGATGTTATTAATTAAGGAATTAGAAATAAGTTTAGTGAAAATTACTTTACTTTATTATTTATTTACTTTACTTCTCTATACTCAAAATCATAGATCAAATTGATATAATAATGACAGATGCAAGATTTCAATTTAATACTGTAATATAATAACTTTAAATTTTGCTATAATACTTGATCTCACTAAAAATGTAATAAATTTGAATTCTTTTCAAGCTTACAAAAGGCCTAAAACTAGTATAAATAAAAAGATTCTTCAAAATAACAGAAATTTATATAGTCATGATACAAGAAATGTACAAAATGTTATTGATAATTAAAAAACTCCCACGAGCAAAAGATATTAATCTTGATAAACTATTATTTTTCATTGCTTAGTATGTAACTGTTTGGTTCTTTTCTCAAATTATGAACTTTCTGATTTTAAATCCGATAAAATTATTCTTAAATTTATTGCTAATCTTTGCATTAAATTATTTTTCAATTTAATTTGTGAAAAAGTTGTATAAGTTAAGTTAAAAGTATATATTTTTTTGATTTTGAGACAATAGATATGAAGCACTTGATTTTAAAATTAAGACGATGTCTAAAATAATGCATGAATAGAAGAATCTATGAAAAATTAATTCTTTTATTTTTCACACTTTAAGCAATATGAAAAAATTGTAATCCATTCTCTTATAGGTCAATATGAATAAAATTATAGAAATCTTAATTTTATTATGCTACAGCTCTTTATGAATGAAATGTCTATTGCTGCTGTATAGATATACATTGTTGATAGCTTCAAATTAGTTAAAAGCTTTGAAATTTGAATTAAATCACTTGGTATAGCAAAGATAATATTAAATGTATTAAAAGACACTATAAATAAGTTATAGAAGTTAATAAATGTTATTTATTTCAAGAAAATAAAACTCAAAAATAATTTGAAAATTTTAATATGAATAATTTAAGAATATTTACATTTATTACAATTATTACATATTTAACACATTCTTTTTTCTTTTTCAAAGTTTTCAATTCAATATACGTCGTTGAAAAATATGTATTTACAAAATTTTTAATTTTTTCTGCCAATGCTACTTTTTTAATTTTTGAAATTTTTGCATCAAAATTAAATATGTAAAATTACAGAAGCAAAATATGAAAATTGTGACAAATCTTAATTTCTGTTGATATTTTATCTCATATTTGACGGTAATTCATTAAAAAATAATTGATCAGTTAAAGCTAGTTATAATCAAATCAAGCTAAAAAAAATGTACCGTTCAAGTATACAATTTGTGATGAAGTCATAAGTTGGTAATTTGGATTGCAAAGATTTGAATTTGAATTTATTATACAAGCTCAACTTTGAAATGATATACAAAACTAAGAATAAAATTATCTGATTCAACGAACTTGTCTACAATCAAAAAGCAGCATAAATTGAATTTTCTTACCCTGAATATCTTTTTGGACAGTCTAAAAAGCATGTTATCATTATTTATCCACCTGATTAATAATTCTTTTATCATTAGATTACCTTAACTTATCTAACTTACTTACCTTCTTTTTCTTAAGCCACTTAATGTGAAATTTTTTCTATAATCACTCAAATTTCCTGTAATTTAGATATTTAAAAGTAAGAAACAAATCAAAACTATTATCATATCTTTTCTCTTAAATCCTAAATTATGTTTGAAGATAAATGCATGAAATTTATTTTTTACTTATTATCAAATAATGATGATTAAATTACTTTTTTATATAGTATCATACTTGCTCCTCAATTTTAAATTTATCTAGCATTATATAACTTGAAGTTAGGACGTAACTTTTAAAAAAATGAATCATTGTTTTTTAATGTTTACTTGACTCAACTTTGCTGTTAGAATCAAAAAATATATTTTTTATATTATAAAATATTATATTATATTATATTTACGAAAAATATATTTGATCTATTTACTTTATGAATTGCCTATATTTTTCAACATACCATATTGGTTGATTAAAATATATTTTTGTTCATAATTTCCATTTAATGTTATTTTTTCAGTTTTTTGTAGAATTGAAAAATATGGAGCTCTGCAAAATGATCTGAATTCTTTAACTTTGAACTTTGCAATCAACAAGTTTATCAAATATTTTGACAAATCTAAAAATTTCATAATGTAATCGTTCATAAAAAAATGAATATTATGGAAAAAATATACATGGATGCAATATATTTTCTTATAAAATTTTTATTGAATAAGATTTTCAATTTTTTTTTTAATTCAAACATACACATAGTGAGCAAATTTAATAAATTCACGAGATTCTATCTTTTTATGCATATTGATTTGATTAAGT